CCCCAAAACCCCAAAACCCCAAAACCCCAAAACCCCTTAAATTTGATTTGAGATTGAACACCCTTTTAGGAGAATAGTCTACCAGCAATATTGTTCCAAAACACGATGTATTTCAAGAGATTGCAAACATAAATTTAAAGAAAATATTTACATCAATTTACCCCCAGAGAGCACTCCTAACCATTATCTTCGGAGAAGGATTCATGAACCTGAAAACTTCCTCTTCGAAATTGGAGTAATTTCAAATGCTTTCCAATAGTTTTGTCGTTACTTCTGAGAAATTTTGTCATATAGGGATGGCTGATGCTATGCTGAGGACTCTTCTCTTCATTGCCTTCTCTGAATTTGCCTTCATTTAGAACTCTTTCAAGGCTAAAATAGATTACGAAATGTGTTTTTAGCTATTATAAATTCGAAAAGAAATATACCTATCATAGGATCTTTCCCAGTTAATCCCTAATTGAGATGTTCTGATGCACTCCTGGTCGGCTCTGAGATTCATGAAGAAGTTCTTGCGCTTTGCTCTTTGCCTCTCAAGATTCTCCCTTTCTTGGATTTTGAATATAGGTGTTCTTTTTAGTCCAATATCTTTAAGGACTAGTTCTTTCCCAGAGTCAACTAATTGTAACAACGAAATCATACCTGATCTCCTCACATCGTCGAATATCTTCCTCATTTTTGAGTGCGAGTGCCAGTCTTGGAGATTCATCCGGACTCTTTTAAGCATTCTAGAGAATTTTTTCTCCCTTGGAATACCTTGTTTTGATCTTCTACCCTCTAGTAGTACCTTCTGAGTTAGCTTCGGAACCTTTTCAAGTTGTGAAGAAGGAACCATATCCTGTCGAATTGAACAGTTAGAGATTCTTTCTAGTGACTTTGTTACTATAAATTCATTAATTTCTTCCTTGGAAATTTTTAATTCTTGGTTACCCAAAAACTTACTGTTGTCTCATGTAGTAACAGTGATGTTTATCTGATGTTGAGTATTCCTTTTAGGAGCTCGAAGACCTTTCAGCCTCTTCATAGTAGACAAGCTCTGAATACTTCTTTTCCTCTCTGACTGGAGCAAAAGCCTCATAGCATTTGCTCTAGCTTGAGCATGATTTGGGATTTCTGGATTTAAATTGTAAGACTTCATTATTCTTGGTTAAATTCGGTTTCAATAAAAATAATAACTAGGGGTTTTGGGGTTTTGGGGTTTTGGGGT